CTCTCTCTCTCTCTCTCTCTCTCTCTCTCTCTCTCTCTCTCTCTCTCTCTCTCTTCGTACTATACGTCACTTCAGGAGCGTGGGGTCAGTAAATACTAAAATTCTCACGATCATCGGTACTATTCATAGAATCACAGCAAATATGCACTGTACGAATGATCTGCCATACGTGCTCAGCCTGATGTCTGAAGAACTTCGTGGCCTGCATTATCCTGAAATTGTATGTCTGTCGGCAATCAATGCGTACCTGAGAAATGCACCGGAAGGCGAACAGAGGAGAGCGATATTAAATTGTTGAAATGAGCATTAGAAAAGTGAAGCATATTATATGTGGGAAAATGAACAAAAAGAAAGAAAAACAGGGATTATGGAAATGTTTTTGAAACATGCGGAATTATATGGGACAAAATTTGTTTTGGGCACACGTATATGAAGGACCAAGTGCAGCACAATCGGGTATGGGACAGCCAATTGATTGGGGAAGCAAACGAGATATCATGGAGTACGACAGGCCGATCTGATGGACGGCACATGAATACGAGGGTTGATGAGGGTATGTACACGAAGACACTTGGACTTCCTGGCATTGAACCGAAAAGTTTCGAGGTGCTGCATGATCTACGGACACTGAGGGATCGCAACAGGTACGGAAAAACGGACGGACACGGGTGACAAGGTGCTCGAGACAGGACATAGGATGGTTGAGGACGTCATGATGAGGTGGGTTTGTGGAAAGGTTAGGTGGATGGTGTTCGAGGTACCAGGACTATATAAGTAGATGACAATGGCTGTGATAGTCACCTCAGCAGGGAGGCAGAATTATGAATTGAAGGATAGTTTTTACACTAATATAGAAAGACTTCGTTATACCATACCTGGCAACGTTTTAGAAAAATTATTTGAAAACTGAGAACTAAGATAAATGAATTATTAGTAGTAGAGTATTATTCTCGTCAAGTATAAAGGTGATTGTGGTAGTTCCTACTGCATGCCATGGACTAAGAGTGTATACTGTGAAAAGTGAAGCCTTGCATTTTTAGTCCAATATTGCAAGTGTGGATCTATACCCAGAATGCTTTGAACTCACGGGAGGCACCCGTGAAGATTGACACTTCATACTGGCAGGTCCAACTTCGTCTCATATGTATTTATTTATTTGTTTGTGGTGAATTTTCGACTGTTGGACGTGGTGTACATGACAGGACTATGATTTTTTTAATCATGGTGACAAAGGAGCATGACATGCGATTAATCTATTCGGTTGTCGATGTACATTTGGATCCGGTTGAAGTTATTGGATCTATGTATATTGGTGAGACGTATTTCGAATTTGGTTATGGTATCTGGATTGAGCGAGCTGCGAGGGGAGTAATTATGTGGCACTCAATGTGGTGCGACACCCGGACATCAGTTTGTGTAGGTTGATTGATCTAGTCGATCTTATGTCCCGTATTTAAGGACGGCGCGTGGATTTAGTTGATTTATTTATTCGTATACTTATTGTCGTAACTTGTGTATCGTACCTTTCGTACGTGTGGCAAGAACGACGTGAGTCAGGTAATGATACGCAGGGTGTGAGATAGCACGTTCACAATCATCGAATGGCAGAAGGAGAGAGAGGTACTCATCATCGTCCTCATCAACATCCTCCCATGGAAGAAAACGCACACGAAGAGGGAGATCCCGATCATCTCACCGTCAGAAGGCACTGTCAAGATCTCCACGTGTAAGATCCGAATCACCACACAGGTTTGGGAGGAGGCGTGAACCATGGCGGAATGACTTCCATGCATGGTTCACCGCAGTATTGAAAGAGGAGATATTTTCCCTACGCAGGGAAGTGGATTGTTTGAAGAAGCAAGTCGAGAAGATGGCGGAGAAATATGACGAGATGAAGCAACAAGACAAAACGCAGAAAGTTGAGAAACAAGAAACAGGCGAGAAGCAAGACACGAGGGAGAAGAACAATGTTGCGTCGCCGATTACTGTCGAACAACTGAAAGGAATGATTGACAGAGCGCTGGAGGGAGCGCTACCTCGGTCAACACAAATGGATAAGGAAAAGACGAAGGTGACACTGGGGAAGGAGGGAGCAAGTATTGGAGGGAACATGACGAATGGAGAAGTGGAACACGTGGCAACAGCAGTACATGACATCAAACGGGACGTTGATGAGATCAAGCTCATGAAGTATGAGCTCGCTGCAGTGAAAGGCGCCTTGAAAAAATTCAACACACCAAGTAGATCGCACACTCCGATGCGTTTAGCAATTACGCCAAGAATGTTGAAGACGACCAAGGTAGTATCGCTACAAATCGGGGCACCTTGTTCGACAACAGCACGGACAACAATCAGTGCTCCATCAATCCTAAAGAATCCAAGACCTACGGCGAAGGCGAAATCAAAACGAAGTATTGATTTCAGTTTCCAACCAATAACCGAATATCAATTGCTTCGTCTTCGTTACACTGATCTGAAAGAATTAAGCAAGATACACGGGCTGAAGTATGTGGACAAGGCACAGGCTATCGCAACACTCAGGAAAGCTCCGGGACTCATCATCAACGAGGGGCGCGACTTCGTACATGACTCAGATAAAGAGACGAGGATGGAACACTCTGACGAAATGGTTATCTCTACCCGCAACCAAGACAACGGTGATTCAGACGATATTGGGGAGTCGTCAGACAGTGATGAAGTGGACACAACAGACAAATCAAGCGAGCAAGATATCAACGGAAGGTAGATGCGAATGGGTCGATGAACGCAGTACTAGTAGGTGACGAATGGGGATTCATACACGGACTGACAACCAGACTTGAAATAATGGTAAGTGTGGGTAAGTGGAGGGAATGTTATGAGCTGAATCATATATACCGCATAGCTTTTATCTCACTGACAGTAGATGGGCCGATCCTGTGGGCAGCTACGGTTCTCGATATATGGATCGTGCAATATGAGTAGATCGAATCACTGATGAAATCGTCATGTTGCGTGTACGTCGTCCTTATTTCACCGTGGTGTGCTCACTACTATATTGGTAAAACTGGCAGACCAGCAGATAAGAGATGAACTGAACACATGCACCTCATGCGCAAGAATGGGAAAGGGAAGCAGAGGAAGTTGTATAGCGGGCTGAAGAAATTCGGAATCGCGAGATATGTGCTCAATTCCGTTATGGAATGAAATCAAAAAAGAAATGTCTGTCACTAATGGAAGAGTCCATGATCAAAAGGATTAATCCGTACTGAAATACCAGAGGAAAATTCAAAATTAGGAACAAACCGGATAAACAACAGGGAAAGAGATGGAGAGTACCACGACTAGTTGATATGACAGGAAATCTGCCTATCATGTTCAAATCCCAGAGATCCAGATGGACTATGAAATTGATACCCCTCTTACAATCAAAAGCGTTGATCACATGCAAACCTGGGGGGTTATGGTTTGAAAAATGAAAGGTAATTAAAAGGATGTATGGATCTGGTATGGTGATTGAGTGTGATGGAATACAAAACATGCTAAGAGAATTTAGAAAGAGGATTGAAAGGGGGGTAGGGGATTCTGTGTCATCAGGCTGGTATATACTGGACCATCATCAATTGTCTGAGAGCACCATGGTGCAGGAAGGAGCTATATGAGGTTAGTTTGGACAAAATACTTACCCTTCTTTCCAAGGCGGGGTCAATCGATGGTAAGAAAATGAGAGGTACTTTGAAAGGGATTTTGACAAGAATATCCATGAAGAAATTTGGATTTCATGCCAAAAGTATATTGATATTTAAGATAGAGTATGATGCTTACATTAACCTGAAGCAAGTTCGTGCTTCTACTGCAGAGATCTTACGTTCACATATAAAAAATTGGAATCTGGCAGCCGACATGGTCGCATGAATGCGAGTGATGTTTGCAAAATCCAGGACAATCAGGGAATTTTTACACAACCATTGGAAGATGTTATGCGAACCCCCAGACTGCCACTGTATGACCTTGGACCTTCCCAGGATTGCGGTCATGTAGCTTGCAGATTGAGTGAAATCACGAGTAATGAATTGCTCAGGAACACCAAAAATGTACCGTTTATGGAAACTAGGCTATGCACACGTGTGCTAGTAAGCATCATCAAACGTACAATTAGCTGCATACCACAGATAATGAGGCAAGACCCACTGAAGGTAACTGACACGTCGCACTGTATCAAAGACGAATCTATCCGATAGGATGTCGGAATTGCCATTACGCAGGTAAGAAGGATTTAGAGCCTATGTTCCCCCTGGCCGCGGCCGAGTTCGGGCATGGCCGCGACCGTCGGCCGTGGCCGGAACCCCCCGGCCATGGCCGCTCCGGTCATGAACTTTAGGCCACGGCCGAGGCCGGTCGGGAAGGGGGTTTCAGGAGCGGGGATTCGGGTTTCGGGTGGGAAGGGGGCGGGGCACCCCCTCAAAGTGGCAGACCGACAAAAAATAAAAAACGGGGGGGTCCTAAACATGGGTCTGGCAGGGTGGGCCGGGAAAATTCATGCATCCCCCAAATTGCGGTTCGTCGACGCAGGTGCGTAGGGGGGAGGGTCGGCAACACATGAAAAAAAAAAAAAAAAAATGTGGCCCC